GCTTCAGTTACTTGACATTCAAGAGCAAGTTTCAGAGTCTCTTCTGACATCTGTTTTAGTCTTTTCTTTCTTTCCTGTCTTTTTAATGACCTCTTGCTTTCTTCACGTATGATATCCTTGATGTCATTCCACAACTTGTCTGGTCTTTGGTCATTAGTGTTCATTGTGTCAAATCTGTTCTTGAGATGGTCTCTAAATGCAGGTGGGATATAGTCAAGGTTGTACTTTGGCTCTCGTGGACTTGTTCTAATTTTCTTCAGTTTCAACTTGAATTTGCATATGAGCAATTGATGTTCTGTTCTTCAGTCAGCCCCTGACCTTGTTCTGACTGATGATATTGAGCTTTTGCATCATCTCTTTCTACATATGTAGTCAATTTGATTCCTGTATATTCCATCCGGCGAGGTCCACCTGTATAATCGCTGTTTATGTTGGTGAAAAAAGGTATTTGCAATGAAGAAGTTGTTGGTCTTGCAAAATTCTATTGTGCAATCTCCGGCAGCATGGTTTCTATCACTAAGGCCATGTTTTCCAACTACCAATCCTTCTGCGTTTCCAACTTTCGCATTCCAATCACCAGTAATTATCAATGCATCCTGATTGCATGTTCGATCAATTTCAGACTGCTGAAGTTGGTAAAAATCTTCAATTTCTTTATCTTTGGCCTTAGTGGTTGATGCATAAATTTGAGTAATAGTCGTATTAACTGGTCTTCTTTGTAGGTGTATGGATATTATCCTGTCATTGACAGCGTTGTGCTTCAGGATTGATCTTGAAATGTTCTTTTTGACAATGAATGCAGCGCCATTCCTCTTCAAGTTATCATTCCTGGCATAGTAGACCGTATGATTGATTCATAATGGCCAATACCAGTCCACTTTAGCTCACTAATGCCTAGGGTATCGATGTGTATGCGTTCCATTTCATTTTTTACAATTTCCAGTTTTCCTAGATTCATACTTTGTAACTTCCATGTTCCGATTGTTAATGGATCTTTGCAGCTGTTTCTTCTCATTTTGAGTTGTGCCACATCATTAAATGAAGGTCCCGAAAGCTTGACTCCATCCACGTCATTAAGGTCGACTCTACTTTGAGTTGGCAGCTCTTCCACAGTCGTCTTTTGAGTGCCTTCCAACATGAGGGCCTCATCTTCTGGCATTATATCAGAGAGTGTTCTGCTGCTATTCATGAGGTTTTCACTGGCTAATTCTTTTCAGAAGTGGACCGCCGTGTCCTTCTTTCTCGTCTGTCTTAGTCTGGAAGCTCAGCTGAAACCTATCTGCCGTGGGTTGCCCTGCTGGTATTTGAATACCAGTGGCATAGCTTCCAGCATCACAGCAACACGCAAGCCCCCACAGTACGACAAACTCACAGATGTGTTGGGGCCTGTAAACTAGTAGTTAGATATAAAGGCTTTATCGGATTCAGGTTCGGTTTTTTTTAGACAAAAATACTTCATAGTTGGTGCTGTGTGTTTCCTATTGTATTCCATCACTAGGCATATATAGTATTATGTAGTGTCACTTATAGTGATGCTAAAATTTGTCAGTAGGTGGTGTCAGCATGATTTTCCCTTATAAAGTTCCCCTCCATCTTTCACGTTAGAGTTTTAGCATCTGGTAATGATTGTTGCCTACATTCATGATTACTTTAGGGCAGTGGTTCTAAAGTGGGGTCCCTGGACAAGCAGTTTCAGCATCACCTTCGCTCTTGTCAGAAAATGCAAATTCTCAAGTCCCATCTGAAATCAGTGAACCAGGAACACTGTGGATGGGCCTACAATCTGTGTAACAAGTCCTCCAAGGGATTCTGATACAAAGTGAAGTTTTAGGACTACTGCAGGAGGTGTTCCAAAATGACACGTTACTCATTTTATCATTTCTTCTGCATTGTTTCAGCTAAATTATTTTTTAAGAACTTTCCCTTATTTGGTTACCCTAAAAAGGAGTTCACGCATGAAAAACATATAAATGCTTGATTCTTTCCCTTTATTTTTCAATTTTAAGAATGAAAAGTTGGTGCTCCAGAATGGTGCTCCAAAGGTGACCGATGAATTTTTTTTTTTCTTAACTTATGGATTTTTAACTTTTTGATGTGATGCAGTCCACTACAATCATGGTTCTTTTTGATACTCAAATTGCCCTGTCTTCAGCCAGCTGTATGTAGCCCCTTCAAGTTGATTCCTGTGTCTTTCTGACAGGACCTTTCATTAGTCTGAGTGTTTCCTTGCCTTCTGATATAATTAAGATGCTCCTAGCTCATCTTGCACAGTTTCTACCCTAGTCCAAGAACCAGCCATTTCTTTAAAACCCGTGGTTGCTTTTAGTGGAAAATATATTTAGAGGTCAACATCAGAATGCTAGGGGCTACTGGATGCCCCTGGGTTGTCATTGCTTCTAGACCTATTCAGTACTCCAACCCAAAAACCCATTGGCTGTCGAGTCGATTCCAACTCATAGCAACCCTATAGGACAGAGTAGAACTGTCCCATAGGGTTTCCAGCACTGTAAATCATTAAAGAATCAGACTGCCACATCTTTCTCCTGTGGAGCAGCTGGTAGTTTTGAACCGTCAACCTTTCAGTTAGCAGTCAAGTACTTAATCACTGCAAAAAAACCTCCATAAAAAAAAAAAAGGAAGAAAGTATGACTTCATACTGATATTTCTAATCCAAATTTAGGAATACATGGGTTTTTTTAAATATTTTATTGTATTTTTGATGAAAGTATACACAACAAAGCAATTTCCCATTCAACGTTAACAATTTCTACACATATTGTTCAGTGACATTGGTTAAATTCTTCAGATTGTGTCAACATTCTCATTATTTCCATTCTAGTTCTTCCATTCCCATTAACTTAGTCTCACTTCTCACTGCCCCCCAACCTTCTCATTCATGCTTTAGAGTAACTGTTGACCATTTGGTCTCATATATAATTTTTCAAAAGAGTGCAGTGCTCAAGGTGATATTCATTACTTTTTTTTTTTTTAACTTTATTTGTTGTTGTTGAGAATATATACAGCAAAACATACACTACTTCAACCATTACTAACATGTACAATTCAGTGACATTGATTACATTCTTCTGGTTGTGTATCCATTCTCACCTTCCTTCTCTGAGTTTTTCCTCCCCCATTAGCATGAATTCACTGCCTCCTAAGGCTCCTACCTATCTTATCTTTTGAGTTGCTGCTATCACTTTGATCCCATACAGATTGAACATAATGCTCAAGGCAGACGTTTTTTACTAGTTAAGCTAGACTATTGTTTGGTTTTAAGAAGAGTTTGGGAGATATTTTTGGTTTAAGGTTTAAAGATTATCTCAGGGCAATAGTTTCAGGGGTTTATTCAGCCTCTGTGGCTCCAGAAGCTGGAGTCCATGAGAATTTGAAAGTCTGTTCTATATTTTCCTCCTTTTGATCAGGATTCTTCTATAGACATTCTTTACTTTTTGAGCTAACCTGATATTTAGTTAAAAGGTGACTTTAGGCGATAGTTTCAGTTCAAGCTTCAAAGAGTATCTCAAGGCAGTAATCATCAAGTATACCTCCAGTCTAAATGAGTCTAGTAAGTCTGGGTTTTTTGAGAATTTGAAATTCTTTTCCACATTTTTCACCCTTTCTATCAGGATCCATCTATTGTGATCCTGATGAGAACGTTCAGTAGTGGTAGCCAGGCGTAGTCAAGTTCTTCTGGTCTCAAGGTAGAGGAGGCCATGGTTCATGTAGACAGTTCTGTAGACCATTTCTTTCTCTGATTCTTGTATTTCTTTCTTTCTCCTTTGCTTCGGATGAATAGAGACCAATAGTTGTATTTTATGTGGCCACTTGTAAGCTTGTAAGACCCTAGACACTACTCACCGAACTAGGATGTAGAACATAAACTTCATGAACTATATTATACCAATTGACTGAGTTGTCCCACGAGAATATGACACCAAGTCTTCAAAGGGTTACATAGTTTTTTTCCTTGATTTTTATATTTGTATCTCAATTCTCTAATAATGTTAAAAAATCTTAGTCTTTCAGGATTTTTTTTAATTGTTGCTTTTTCCTTTAGTTTTGGTCTAGCCAAAAGCATCTTGACTCTTTTAGTTCATGTTTATTTATAACCATCTACTTCCAAAATGATTTGAGCAGTTTTATTATACCAGCTATATGAATAGTTACAGCTTTGCTTAGCATTTCTTCATGAATGTAAAACACAGTACTTTTTATTATGTGCAATATCCATTTGATAAGAAAAGTACTATTTTTAGTCAATAGGTTTTACCAAGCTACATCTTTTAATGGAGTCTTAGCCAGACAATATAGGAATTTTTCTAAGATAAAATACCCATTAGAAAAACATACAAAGACAATTTATGGAAGACAATTTATGACAAAAGGGTATAAATGGCCAATGAATGAAGGGAACCGTGTACCACTAATAATCAGAAAAATATAAAATAAACTATCATTTTTCACTCTCATAGGAACTGGTTTTTGGTGAGGGTATGGAATAAGAACATTTTCATACACTGTTGGTAGGAGTGTAAATAGGTACAGTACTTTTGGAGGGCAATTAGTATCTATCAACATTAAAAATGAACATAAATCTTTGACTAAAAATTACACTTCTTGAATGCTAGTCAGTAGAAATATTTGCATGTATACATTAGAACATGTGTAAAAAGATGCTCATTGAAGCATTACATGTCATAATAATAATAAATTGCAAATATTCTAAGTGTCCATCAGTAGAAGGATGGATAAATAAATTATAGTATGATTATACTGGAGAAAATTACAGGATTATTTTTTTTTTAAAAAAGAGGTAGTTCTTCATGACCTTGATATATTACAAAGTGACAAAAAAAGTTGTAGGACAGTATTACAAGTATTACGTACTAACTCATTTTGTCTATAAAGATCAAACCTTGTATATTTGATTTGGTAATTTAGATGTAGTAAAACTATTGCTTGGATATTTAATATTTTGTCCTTTTTTTAAAAAACAGCTTTTGGAAATTAACTGGACAGGACTAACTAATCTTCTAGATATCCCTGGGTTGAAGTAAGTATTATGTAATGTCCTATAATAATTATCTCATTAACGATGTAATGTGCATTTTCAGTGTCATAAAAATCATATGAGAATGGTTAAGACCTATGTCTATCAGGTAGAATTAGTGCTTTCTCAGTAGGCTCTGATATGAGAAATGAGTAAACAGTACAGTTGTGTTTTGTTCTCATATCCTTGTGTCCAACTACTTAAATCTCAATGAGCTAAAGTTAGAATGGTTTTAAGAGTGTTTAAACTGAGTCCTTTATCTTAATTTTAATTTTCATTCATCATGAGGCATCCTCCCTGTCTTTGTAGCTCGGAAAAGTTGCAGCGTTTTAATATGAAAATTAATTTTTTAATTTGGTTTTATTTATTTTTCCCAAAACCAGTTGAAAACTTTGAAAGTAAATATATATTTCAAAACTTACCATTTCCAGGTTCTTTTCAAGCTGTAGCTACACCCTTCTCTTTCCATCTTTTGTTACCTTTATCCATTTCTGTTTGAAAGGAATAGGTGTCAAGACTGAACTTAGCTAACTTGTACAGCTCCTCCAGGAATTTGAGTATGGGAGGTGAGGAATTTGAAGGTTTTATATATCACTGCAAGTCCCTTCACTATTCTGTAACAGTCTAATATTTAAAACTTGAGAAAACTTTCATATAGTAAGCATTAACGTTCATTAAGGGCACATCCTTGCTTGGAGAGAAATGAAGTCATTCTAGTTGTGTCACAAATTATCCAGTCTTAAGTGGTGTCTTAGTCATCTAGTGCTGCTATAACAGAGATACCACAAGTGGATGGTTTCAACGAAGAGAAATTTATTCTCTCACAGTCTAGTAGGCTACAAGTCCAAATTCAGGTCATCAGCTCCAGAGAAAGGCCTTCTGTCTCTGTCAGTTCCAGAGGAAGGTCCTTGCCTTCAGTCTTCCCTTGATCTGGGAGCATCACAGCACAGGAGCCTCAGTTCCAAAGGACGCACTCTGCTCTCAGCACTGCTTTCTTGGTGGTGTGAGGTTCCCGTGTGTCTCTGCTTGCTTCTCTCTTTTGTATCTCAAAAGAGATTGACTTAAGACACTGTCTAATCTTGTGGACCTCATCACTATAACTGCTGCTAATCCATTTTATTACATCATAGCAATAGAGTTTATAACACATAAGGAAATCACATCAGATTGCAAAATGATACACAATCATACAATACTGGGGATCATGACCCAGCCAAGTTGACAGATATTTTTGGGGGGCACAGTTCAGTCCATGACAGATGGTATATGATAATTATTTGTGACAAACCTATTACATTACCAGACAGGAAGTTCTGAAATTGCAACCTTCTAAACTCAACTTTTGCTAGTCTTTACTGTTTTATTTGAAGGTTAAAATGTATTACTTACTGGTTAAAGCTGTATATGTTTCTAGTGGATATTTTGCTAATCTGTGTTTTTTTCCCCTAAAATAGCTTAGAAATTAATTTAACCAATAAATTATTGGTGATGACTTCATGCATAGCTAAGTATTGATGTCCAAATAATGTCATAAGTACCATCTATTCAACTGTTGACTCCCCAGCCCCCCCCCCACCCCCCCGTAGCTTTGTTTCATGCAAGGTCTTGCTTTGTTAGCAGCTTCTATCTTCTACAAACTTAGCAACCTTGTTGAAAAAGAACCTCTTTTCTACTAGATCCAGCAAAACTGCAGGGTTGACTTTTGTTTATCCATCAGATGTCCTTTCTTGATCAAATTCCTGTGATTCTGATGATCAGATGCGGGTCTCAGGCCTGCTGCAGAGGAGGCAGAAAAATGGGTAACTTGCTTGAAAAAGCCTCATTAAGACCATAAAGTCTGAGAATGGAGTGATTCCCCAGAGGAAAAACTCACTAGAAGTACGGGTGCTGGTTAGTCAGGCAAAAACAACAAATATCTAGCTATTTAAATTTAATATCCCTACCTTTAAATAAGGAGCTCTGGTTGCTCAATGGTTAAATCTCTCAGCTGCTAACAGAAAGGTTGGAAGTTCAAACCCTCCAGCCCTAAACTGAATGTTGAAGATGTAAGAAGGGATTATAATTATGTTAGAAAAAAAATAAGGATGATAATATTAAAAGTGGTGAGAAAAGTGACAGATGTTACACATGCACTTTTGATTAGGAAGAATATTACGAATGACAAAGGGGATCAGACAAAATATGAAAAGGTGCCATTCCTATGTAGTAAGACAGTCAGTAAAAGTCAGGCCAAGTCAGTGGATAAGCAAGGGATCAGTGTCAACAGTCCTGATAATAACTCAGGAGAAGGCTGAATGTTTGTTAAAGGATATGAAGGCTAATAACAGTAAAAATGCCTCTGATGAAACCTTTGCCAAAAATTGCTGATAGTTTAATAGGTGCAAGGTCAGAATAACTCTGCACACTATTAAGGTGATTGGCTTATTACTATAGCAGCTAAGGAATTCTTTAAAACATTTAAATCATCAGTAAGGAGTTAACCTGCTTCACAAGACTTTTCAGTGTAAATGAAACTGGCTTTTTTTTTTTTAGGGAAAAAAATGTCTAAAGTTAGAAGAGTATTGTTGGTATTAAAGCTTTGAAGGACCACCATGCATCCAATATCTACATGCTTAAGCCCTCTTAGTCTCTTTGGAATCATTAACAGTCTAATTAAACTTGCCTATTCATGAATAGAGTAGAGAGGTTTTTTTTGTTTTGTTTTAGTCTTTTTCCTATATTAAAGTATTAGGTCCTTAAGATAAGGTACGTTATCCTGTTTGTCATCGTATATTATAGAGGGCCTAGCACAGGACCAGGTCCTGGTGAAAATAGTTAAGCACTTGACTACTACCTGAAAGGCTGGCAGTTTGAACCCATGCAGAGGTGCTTCAGAAGACAGGCTTGGTGATCTACTTCCAAAAGGTCACAGCCTTGAAAACCCTATAGAGCAGTTCTACTCCGCACACATGAGGTTGCCATGAGTAGGAATCGACTCAGCGGCAACTAACAACAACAACAAGCACAGGACCTGAGTTCCTATGGATATTCAATCATTATTCATTGAGTGATGATGACTGTTGCTCCATACCGATGGATATTATTATATGTATAATTTTTTTACATATGTATGTTCATAATTTTAATATCTAAAAGTACTATCAAGAGATAAATTTCTTGAAAAAATTTACAGTTCAGGTAAAGGTGTTCTATAGCAATAAAAGTTGCATTTATATATGTTTTCAAAAGTACTTTCACATACACATAACAGTTCTCACATTTACGCTAAAGAATAGACAAATATATTAAAAGTACATTTGTTTCTTTAGCTTAAGTAATTTTACTTCTATTACTGAGTTCACTATGTAGTGGTATATAGTGTATCAAAATTATTACAGTATTCTGTACTCAGACTGTTTGATAATGTTTGAATAGAGTATAAATTTTTTTGCTTCATTAGGAGCTATGTGTACAAGAGAAAACTTTAATGTAATGGATGTTTGTTATGTGTTGCACTTTTATGTATGTTTGAAATATTTTATGTTAAAAGAAATTTAATAAAATGTATCTTAGTTATACACTATCAAATCTGTCATGAAGTTATTTAGGAAACTATGAAATGCTATTAGAAAATTATGAAATGTAACCGGAATATTACCTTGTATTCTAAGAATTAACTCTACATCATAGTCACCAAGCAATATAGCAGCTAAAATATCAAAATGCTACTTTTAAATAGTATGTTTAAGAAATTAGATAACTCCTATACTATAATAGTAGTAGTAGTAGTATAGGAGTTATCAGATAACTATAATAGTAGTAGTATAGGAGTTATCTGATAACTCCTGTACTATAATAGTAGTAGTAGTATAGGAGTTATCTGTACATGGAGCCCTAGTGGCGCAGTGATTAAGAGGTACAGCTGCTAACCAAAAGGTTGGCAGTTTGAATCCACCAGCCGCTCCTTGGAATCCCTATGGGGTAGTTCTACTCTGTCCTATAGGGTCGCTATGGGTTGTAATTGACTCAACGGCAACGAGTTTGGTTTTTTGTTGTTTTTTTATGCTATAAATGGGATATTGATATCATGTTTGTTATAAGTTTATTGTTAAAAGTGGTAGCAGATGTTGATATGTCTGATAGTTGGTTTGTTCTTTTTACTTCCCAATTAACAGTGGTTTATCAGATACTATCATTCTGGATATAATATCGAACTATCTGGTGCTTCCCAATCGAATCACCGTTCCTCTTGTCACTGAAGTTCAGATAGCTCAGTTGCGGTTTCCTATACCAAAGGTAAGGGTGTCTTAAGATCCATTGATACTGAAAAACAGATATTGAGGACCTTTTCAAATGTTTGGTTGTTCTAACATCTTATACTTCTCTTGACAGCTAACTTGCTACAGTGTATCTTAATGCAGTAATTGTAGTTTTTCCTACCATGCTCCTTAAGAAATGTGATTATGTGCATTTGGACCTAAAGCTTGTCACAAGACTTCTGGGTAGTTATACTTCAGTCATGTTCTTCAGAGGTATTAATAGGGATTTAATTCAGCAAATGTTATTGGAAGTAATAAATGACAGCTGTGAGTGGCACAGATAACTTAGTTATCATCTTAGAAAACAGATATTGATTGTATTTGTTTTTATAAAACGTAACAGCTCTGAGAGAGAAGTGCCGGTTTTCCTGGAGAACATTATGAGAACTTTGTATAATGATTTTTAATTTTCTCTCAGACATTACAATATGGTTATCTTTGCATTCATTTAATAACTAACATGTTAGAAGAAGCACTAATAACACCACTACCCTTGATAAAATAGAAAGAGCATGGGCTTGCTTTGGAGTCTGTCAGAACTAGATTTGAATCTAGTTGTGTTTAGTAGTAGCTTTACTTTTGGGGGCCTATTACTTGGCATGTCTGAGCCTCAGTTTCTTCATCTGTAAAATATTTATGATGTCTGACACACAGAGTTGGGTAATTGAGAACTCATTAATAACTTGGTATAGTTGGTAAACTAATACTACCACTAAAGATTAATTTAAGGTTAAGTGAGAACTACTTAGTTAAGAACATTAAATTCCTTTTTGCTAGGTCATTGAAGAGTTTATTGGAATGAGTGATCTCTGGTATTCTCTTTTACCCTCTAAATTTAAGGAGAACTTTTAGCAACTCCCATATCTATTTAGTCCATATCTGTTTAGTCTGTCTGGAATTTGGATTCCTTTTCTTATCGTAATAGATCATATATTAGTTTAATATAGTTGACAGAAGAAGTAGGCTGCTTATAGAAGTCAGTTAAGAAATCCTGTCATGGTATTGTCTGCAATAAGGAGTAATATTGATGCACACAGTGCAATTTATTTTTTACTAAAATAAGTGTTAAGTTGGTCCTATTTCAGTATGTGTATTGTTGTTTTGATTTTGTTTCCTGAAGTGCAAGTAGACAACTTTTCCCTAATGCGTTTTTACTTTTTCTAGTTAAACTTAAATTAGATCTCAGTGATAGTATACAAATCAACAAACATTCATAAATAGTCTTATATTTTTTAAAGTACAACACTCCAGTTAATTTGATGTCCAGATTAGTTATATTGTTGGCATTCAGCAGATTAAATGTGACATTACACATTAGAAAAGAATGTCTTTTTTTTTTTTAACTTAAACAATTCTCATCTCTGAAAAGTGCAAGAACTCCTTTACATGTAGAAATCCTCAAGTTTCCTTGCTACTGCTTTTTACCTTCTGAGTATGAGTGAGAACTTGTTGGTCAATCAGTCTGCCTAAATGTAGCCCTCTTAAGCTCTATGTGATTTAAATAAGGTCTTTGGGTGACACAAGCGGTTTGCCATTGCCTGCTAATGTAAAGGTTGGCAGTTTGAACCCACCCAGTGGCTCCTCAGAAGAAAGGCCTGAAAATTACAGCCAAGAAAACCCTATGGCACAGTTCTACTCTGTGACACATGGGGTTTTTATGAGTCAGAATCAACTCGATGGCAATGGGTTTGGTTTTTTGGTTTTAGGTCATTTAAATATATTGCCAGATTATCTAAACTTTAAGACATATAAAAATATACACAAGAAATTTTATTTTTGTGTTTTTTAAAAGCGTATTTATCTATAGAAATACATATCTTCCTATGCTGATTGAGTCAGGAATATTACCCTGTAATTAAAAAAGGAAGAGCCCTGGTGGCACAGTCGTTAAGCATGTGGCTGCTAACCAAAAGGCTAGCAGTTTGAACCCACCAGCTGCTCTGAGTGAGAAAGATACACAGTCTGCTTCCATAAAGATTACAACCTTGGAAACACAATGGGGCAGTTCTACTCTGTTCTATAGGGTCGCTAGGAGTCAGAATCAACTCGATGGCACACAACTACAATTTAGAAAGGGAGGGGTGCTACTCTACCAAAAGGTAACTTTATCACCTTTGTTTGCATCGAAAGAAATGTGAATGAATATTTTTTCTTCAATCAGTAAAACAACTTATTAGGAAAAGAGAGCTATGTTTAAAGTCTATGAGTAGTACATATTGAAAAGTTTCAGTTTCCTCATCTATAATATAAAATGAATTCAATGACAGTATCTCATAAGATTGTTCTGAAAATTGAATCAAGTAATTAATGCATATCAAGTACTTATTCATCAGTCTGATACATTCCATAGTGTTAGTTATTACTGTAGTACCATGATATGGGATTGTTTGATGACCCATAAGACTCTATACAATCTGGTCTACTGCTGCCTTTCTAATTTATCTCCTGTCACTATGCACATTTGCCCTCAGGCTAATCATAGTCTCACTCTAGGACCTATATACACTTAGTATTCCCTCTGCCGGGAAAACTCTTTCCCCAGATATCTGTGTATCTCACTCCTTCACTTTCCTCAGGTCTCTGAACACAGAGAAGCCTTCTTTATTCTTCCTATCTAAAACACCACCACTCTGGCACTGTCTTCTTACCCTGCTTGATTTTTTTACTTAGCGCTTGTCTCGTGACATATTAAATATTTATTTTCTTATTGTCTTTCTCCCCCTGCTAGAATCTGTGCTGCATGAAAAGAGAGTCTTCACTTTGTTCACTTTTGCATCCCCAGTTTCAGAGTGGTATCAGGCATATAGCCATCATTTCATTTTTATTAAATAAATGAACAGTCTGTTCTTGTTCTTTTCAGGGTGTTCTAAGGATACATTTTATTGAAGCTCAGGATCTTCAGGGTAAAGATACTTACCTTAAGGGACTTCTTAAGGGAAAGTCAGACCCCTATGGAGTTATTCGAGTTGGCAACCAAATCTTCCAAAGCAAAGTTATCAAAGAAAATCTTAGTCCAAAGTGGAATGAAGTTTATGAGGTAATGTGTTGAATCAAGTAATGTAACTTGATTGAATGTGGTAGACACTAAACAGGGGTATCTAAATTCTAATTCCAGTTCTGTCACATGGTTGTTTGATTAATTTAGGCAGTAATTTAAATTCTCTTAGCTTTAATTTCCCATCTTTATAAAAAGTATTGCCCAGAAATAGATCCACACAAATATACTCAACTGATCTTTGGAAAAGGAGCAAACAGAATTCAATGGTGAAAGTATTGTCTTTTCAACAAATAGTGCTGGTACAACTGTACATCCACACACACAAAAAAAAGAATCTAGATACAGACACCTTTCACAAAAAAAACTCAAATTGAATCACAGACCTAGGTGTTAAATGCAAAACTGTACAATTTCTAGAAGATAAGATAGGAGAAAATCTAGGTGCCTGGGTTTGGCAATGAGTTTTTAGATACAACAGCAAAAGCGCATCCATAAAAGAAAAATAATTGATAAGTTAGACTTCATTAAAATTAAAAACTTATGCTCTGTAAAAGACACTATTATGAGAAAGAAAAAAAAAAGCCACAGACTAAGAGAAAATATTTGCAAAACATGTCTAGTAAAGAACTTGTTTTCAAGACATACGAAGAACTTTTAAAACTCAACAAAAACAAAAAACAACTCAGTCAAAAATGGGCAAGAGATTTGAACAGACACCTCACCGAAGAAGATTTACAAATGGCAAATAGTCCTATGAAAAGATGCTCAGCATCATGTTATTAGGGGATTGCAAATTAAAACAAGGATGAGATACCACTACATATCTCTTAGTGTGGCTAAAATTCAAAACACTGACGACGACACAAAATGTTGGTAAGGATGTGGAGCAACATTGTTGATGGGAATGCAAAATGATACAGCCACTTTGGAATACAGTCTGGCAATTTCTTACCATTACAGTCCCACAATCACAGTCCTAGGTATTGACCCAAATGAATTGAAGACTTATGTCCACACAAAAACCTGCACACAAATGTTTTTAGCAGCTTTATTTGTAATTGAGAAAAATTGAAGGCAGCCAAGATGTCTTATAGACAAACAAAAAGAAATGAGACATCAAACATGAAAATCCATGGAGGAACCTTCAATGAATATTGCAAGTAAAATAAGCCAGTCTAGAAACACTACATACGTTATGATTCCAACTATATGACATTTTGGAAAAAGCAAAACTATAGAGACAGAAAAAAAGATCAGTAATTCAGGGGGAGGAGGAAGGGATGAATAGATGAAGCACAGGACATTTTTAGGCCAGTAAAAGTTCTGTAAGTATCGTACCTTCTATATGTACCTTACAGCATTCTTGTGAGGGATATAAAATGCCAACACAAAAATTTTAAGCTTAATTACCTAATACTATCACAATAAATAATTGGCAAAGTATTTTTCAAAATGTGAATAACTCATTGTCTTTTTCTAATTATAAAATGTGGTTATTAACATACATAAATACATACAAAAATGAGATCAGTTATATACTGTTTTGCAAACTTTTCATTTAATATATACGGACACTTCTACATGTCAATAAATATATATCTATGTATTTTTTAATATCTGTTACATTGAACAGATACCGTACCATAATTTATTTGCCCAGAGAGATTTAGGCTATTTTTAGTTCAATATTATAAACATTGCTGAACAGATATAGTGTGAATGTATTTTTCTTCACTTGACCAAATTTTCCCTGGATAAAAATTTTAAAGTGGAGTTGCCAGATCAAAAGTAATAAATTTTTTAAAGGACTTGATGTATTTTTGCAGAATTGCTCTTCAGAAAGGTAGTGCAGTTTATACTCCCGCCAGCATCCCATTTTCCCACTCACTTGTCAATCCTATATATTGCTAAATTTCTTAATCTGAGTGATGGTAAAATGGGTAATTTCTGGTTATTCCAAGGACGGTAGGCTGTCGGTGTTCTAAATGAAACAACTTGACAGAATATTGTATTCTACATCTGTGAAACTATCCCAATCCTGGTACAGCACTAGGCTTGTGGTTTTTGCCCTGTGGCTGTGTTTTGGAGTGGTTGAACTTGACCTGTTGAAGTGTAATCCCAGATAACTAGAAAACAAACACAATGGACTGTTAATATATGAGCAAGTATTTCAAATAACCTCTTCATCATCAAGAGATATGGTTTGATAATAAAAACATATAAGTGCTTTAAAAAGTATTTGTCACTAAAGAACAAAACAAACAAAAAAACAATTTGCCACTGAAGAAAAATACATGTTAATATTTATTATCTTCATTGTACTCAATAAATGACTAAAAATTAGTAAAAATGCAAAATAATTACTAATCATTAATTTTTCAGGCTTTAGTTTATGAACATCCTGGGCAGGAATTAGAAATTGAGCTCTTTGATGAAGACCCAGATAAGGATGACTTTTTAGGAAGGTAAATCATTTGTGAATACTTGAAGAAAACATATAATCACTCTCTCTCTTTTATTTTTTAATAATCATCCTTAAAACTGTAATATAACTTTAAAAATCTGTTTATGTACATGTGCTTCACCTTAGGTTTCTTAAAACATGTTTTATTCCTTAAAAGTTTCACATTTAAGTAAGAGAAAGAAAGCTTCTAGATCTGTGCTGTCCATTATGGTGACCACATGTTACATGTAGCTATTTAAATTAAATTAATAAAAATGAAATAAAATTATAAATTTGTTTTCTCACTTGCAGTAGCCATGTTTCAGGTGCTAAGTAGTTACACGTGGCTAACTGTATATGTTGTCATCAAGTCAGAGTAGAACTGCCCCGTAGAGTTTCCAAGGAGCAGCTTATAGATTCGAACTGTGACCTTTTGGTTAGCAGCCAAGCTCTTAACCACTGCACCAACCAGGGCTCCGACATGTGGCTAGTGGCTACCATATTGACAGCACAGATATAGAATATTTCCATCATCACAGAAAGTTCTGTTGGACAGCTGTATTCTAGATTGTAGAAATGAGTTTTTACCTTTTGATGCAAAGATCACTTATCCTCAAGTTGCTGGGTTAATTTTTGTTGAGACTTAGCAATCTACATTGTGCCTGCACATTGGGAAAATAAATAATAATTTATTTACTTTAATTGAACAGCTAGTATAGATGAAAAAATGAGGTTTTAAATAATACGCTTCTATGGGGTATTTATTATTTAACTGAATTTGGTTATTATTTGATTGAATTTATTGTGATGAAAGATATAGGGAAAGGTGACAATGGAGAGGTTTGGGCCTCATCAGGAATGGCCTTGTATATTTAGCCATGACTTCAGAATTCGTTCATAAGGCAATTTAACAAGGAGAAATTGAAAGATTTTAAGATTTGCCTTCTAGTAAGACCAGTGTGTTGATTGTATTTTAAAGGATTGAGATTGAAGACCAGGAGACCAATTGGGAGACTCTTGTAATAAATGAGGAAGGAGATCATGAGGATCTAAACTGAGACATAAACTGCAGAAACAGAGAAGGGGGTGGCTACAAGAAAAAAATAAAGAGCATAATCATCTCATCCTAGTCAAGGGAGGAGAAAGAGAGAAATTGAGGATGAATTTTAAGTTTCTGACTTCTGTGCAGGTGGTACCATTCTTTAAAACAGTATCTGAGAAGCAGACTTGTTTAAAGAGAAATATAATGGGCTTACATTTAGACAAGTTGAGTGAGAGGCTTCTGTGGGACATCAGGTGAAATGGGAAGTTGGAGATACGGGTCTAGATCTCAGGAGCAAGGCCTGGAACAGAGGTCAAAGTGGTAAATCAGTGTATGTGAATAACTGATTCCATGGTGATGGATGATATTACCAAGGGAGAACACGGGAAATAAGAGGGTTGAAATAATTTGAAATATGTTTGATACATTGTACATAGCTATATTGTATGAAAGTTTAGCTTCTTTATAGCTCTAAACTCTGCTGGACCAAACCGAGATCTCTGATCTCACAGAAGCTCAACCCTGCTCTTTTCCTCACCTCTCTTTATTCTCTTGGATATAAGCTTGAGGAAGCTTTTGAAAGAACAGTCTGTTTTTTGATAAACTATACAGCAATTTGTTGCATTTCTGGAACACTTTTTCATAGACAAATGCTTAAGGTTGTTGCAGTTGTAAGAAGTGTGCTTCTGTCTTCTAAAATTGTTGTATTGTTATTTCTGTAGTCTCATGATTGATCTTACTGAAGTTGAAAAGGAGCGCCTTTTAGATGAAGTAAGTTGTTTAAATATTGGTACTGTTTAATAAATGTTGATGGAGTACCTGCTGTGTGCCTGAGGACTGTGAAACCACCATTATCACCCTACTTATACAATGCAGGAATCTAGTTAATATTACATGAACTTAATATTTGCTTCACAAGTATTAGAAACTTGGGCTTTTTAGTAATAGCAAAGTGAAAGAAATTTAAGAATAAAATCAGATAATGTTTATTGAATACCTCCATATGCTAGAAATATTTAAGGATACAAAACATAAAACTCTTAATTTTATTTTGGATAAATGTGTGTTCTGCTTCAGGAGTTAAGGTAGAGATATGTACAAAGCTAATTAGTAATGGAAATTTAAAATATAGCTGGAGTTAACAGAGGAGATGTCACAGTGCAGTATGTGAGAAATTATTACATAAAAGATATGTATAAATGCATTGGGAATTTAGAGGAAAAAGACACTACTTCAAGCAGGGATATTGCTATCAGAGCAGGGAATATATATTTTTTAAAAAAAAACAAAGGGAAATTTCATAGTGGCTTCTATAGGATGGGTAGGATTTGGATTAAAAAAAAACAAAACTAAACCCCTTGCCATCTAGTCGATTCTGACTCATAACGACTCTATAGGACAATGTAGAACCAACCCATAGAGTTTCCAAGGAGTGCCTGGTGGATTCGAACTGCCAGCCTTTTGGTTAGCAGCCGTAGCTGTTAACTACTATGCCACCATGGATTTGGATAAGTGAAGTGTAATTAACCAAATCATTATTGACAATCTACTGCTTTGAAAGTACCCTTTTTCATTCCCATACTTGTTCAGCATTTATTCAACAAATACATCTTGTCTACTTCTTATGTACTGAATAGACAGAGTTGAGCAAATAGAGTTGAGCAAAATAGATAAATCGTTGCCTTCGTGGCATTCTCTTACCACTGAATGTTTTGGAATCATCTTTGATTAATTGCTGAAATAACTGTATACTATTTTATTAATTTGTACATGATGATGAATAAAAACAAATATGTTAATTTACCTGATATTGAAATTCAGTGTTTGGGATCAATGTTGTATTTTTATCTTGGCCTTTAAATTCCATTAAAGCCCATGTATAGATGACTGGTAGTATTAGAAAACATTTGAAGTTTTCAAATAGTCCAAGTTCCCTTGTCTTTAAAATAGAGATAACAATAATACTTACCTCTTAGGATTATAGTTAAGATTAAATGAATTAATATATATAAAGCATTTACGTAGTTTCTAGCAAGCAGGAAGTACTGTATGAGTGCTAACTGCTGCTTGCTAGCATTATCATTTTCGAACATTTAAGTCACCAAGCATTTAAAGAACGTAGATCTAAATATGGCAAGATTCAGTCCTTAACCATTAATTGAAAACAATTGATATTTCTCAGTTAGTGAGCACCTGCTGACATTTGGATATACTGGGTTTAATTTGAATTTTGGATTCAAGGGAACTTTTTCTGAATTTAAACATTATTTTCTCTTCAGTGGTTCACTCTGGATGAGGTTCCGAAAGGAAAGCTTCACCTGAAACTGGAATGGCTCACATTAATGCCAAATGCTTCAAATCTCGATAAGGTACTGTGAAGTGTTTTTTCTCTTGATAACTAAACCACTCCTGTTAGTTAAGACTAGTCTCTTTGAAACTGTATCGTTACTTGGTAACCAAAAAAAAATTACAGCAATAATTTTGAATATTATCCTATAAGTCACTATCGTAGCATCAGGCATAAATTAAGGAAAATGAAATTGTTTTAAAAAGAAATTTATAGGTTATTCACACCTGATTTATAGGGGCTTCAAACTTTGTGCTTGATAGAATACAGGGATTTGGAGAGCCACAGATCACCTGTGTGCTTCATTTAGTTGATTTGTGTGGAATAATAGTCTGTCATCTAAATATATTTATTGTTTTAGTTATTCTCTTTATACTACATAATATAGAGGTTTATTTCTCCACCTTTCTCATTTTCTTGTGCATAATAGACATAATATAATCAGGTAGGAATAGTCCACATTTTACACAAACATGCCTGTTGAGATTTTTTCCCCCTCCATTACTTTTTAGGTGCTAACAGACATCAAAGCTGACAAAGACCAAGCCAATGATGGTCTTTCCTCTGCATTGCTTATCTTGTATTTAGATTCAGCAAGGAATCTTCCAGTAAGTAATGCAGTGGTAACCCATTTTGAGTGCTTATTTCCTTCTAGCAAATCTTGCTTGAAAACCACTGCTTTGTTCAGCCACCATTGTATCAACTGCTCTTGTCTTGCTTGTGTTTTGCTGTACCATGGCAGTGGATGAGTTTCTGGGATTTAGCATTTTCCAAAGCATTAGGGAGGAGAAGAATAATGCTGCTGTATGAATATTCTGAGCTTTGTTAAGGTGCTCAGTGCATCTCTAGCAGATGAAAAAGAAGACCAAAAGATGTTTCTAAGTGACCTACTCTCAGAGACTTGACTTTCTGCAGCTTAAAAGCATATGCTTTTATTTGCATCTGAATTGTTTTTGCTCTTAGAAAAAAATTGTAGAATATAGTTTTTATAATGGTGTTAACTATAACTATAAAGAAGAAAAATCATATTAATTCAACCATGTGGAGCATAGTGTGATCTTACACTGAGATACTTTAAACTCCACTATTTAGGGTTTATAATTTTTCAGTATCATTTTTGAGTGCCTTTTTTTTTTTACTTGTTCAAATAGGTGGTCATTCATGCTTTATTTCATTGTGCCAATGGCTGATTTTGTTGAAAGAAAGACTACTGCCTCCAGATACAGGATTTTTTTTCTCTCTCAAGATTTTCCATTGTGTAATTCTTCATGCATGGTAAAGTTTTCACTCATTTAAGTGAATTCATTTTACTTGATGAAGTGGACAAGAAAGCAAAGAAACATTTAACTTAGTCCTTTAAAATACAGTGAAACCCGTGAGAGCCAGAACTCGACGGACTGCTGTCTAGCAAGTTTTCTGCCTGTGACAGGGTATAGGTTTACCACTTTCCTATCACTCATTTTAGTGGAAAATATTGAGTTTTCCTTCTCTGACAGGTTTCCGCCTTACACAGATCCCGGCTTTCACAGGTTTTAGTGTACTAAGACTCTAAATTATGAATGTTTCATCTTGGACACTAATTATATTTTTCTAATATAGTCTCACCTTAACATAGTTAAACTGTTTTCTTATATCTCATGAAATACTCACATTTTGTTTCATGTAGCATCTATCAAGTTTTAAAAATTGTGCATTACTTGGGCTTTGGAGGAAACTTGGGCACATGAGATGAAGTAAATGTACTTTGTACATCTGTACCTTTTATTTAGAAATATTAACGATTAAAACCTGATTGGTCATTTAATTTCTTCATGCCGAAAGGAAACTATGTTGTGTGTAATTGTACTCTTTCTTTCAATGAAGTTTTCTTGGCTGATTTTAGCTTCTTAAATTCTTACATTTCTCTTTAAATATTTACCTTAACTTTTGGCCAATCTTCCAGTCTAAAGCCTGTGACTTTATCTGTTATAATTTCAATTGAAATAATGAAAGTTGTTTCATTATTATTTAACCTTCTACTGAATATTTTGTATGTTACAATTTTTTTGTTTTAACCACAATAATGTTTGCTATAGCGTCTTCTATAACACCTGATGGCAGTGAATTTGTTACATATTTTAGGATAAAGAGAATAGTACTGGTGAATTGGCAAGAAAGGATTAAGCTTCTCTTTACAACTGTCTGTTTTGTCACATTAGATTGAATTTGAATGACGTCACATAAGCAAAAAAAGAAAGTGAATTTATTAACCTTTTTATTAAAAGAGTACTTTGTGCATGAAGTATGTTATGGCTGTCAGAGGCAAAGAATTTTTACAAAACCTCTGCCCTGTTGGGTGTTTATTTAAAACAGGAACACTTGCTGATTAGTTTGAACAGAGTTATTGTAGAATTCTTTGACTCTACCATTGCACTCCTATTTATTAGTGCTTTTTGTGCATTCATTTACCACAACCCATCATTCTTTGCTTTCTCCTTCCGTTTCCACTTTCCTAAGAGTATCTACGAGGGAAACTTTGGGTGTGGCTACTTAAAAGAGAGGAGAGCATCGGGACTAGTATTTTGTGAAAACACTACCTCAGTCTATAGAGCACTATTTGTGAGTTCTCCAGTGTTCTTTCTTTCTTTTTGTTTTTAATGGGGATTGCCAGAATGTGGACTAGAACTTCTAATGTGATCTGTTCGATGGTGGAATGACTTGGCATGCTTGTTTTTATTTTCTTGCATGATTTCAGTCACTGTGTATTTCTTTTGTGCTTGTTTTTGAAAATCTAACACTACTGTAACATTGTTGAGTATGTCTGATGACGAGATGAACAAACCTAGCGAGTCATTATGAAGAAGCCTTACATTCGTAAACTGCTACTAGCCTATGGGAAAATAAGTAAATAAAAATTCTCTAAGGAAAAAATGAAACCATAATGATTACAATTTAATTTCCTGTGGTTCATCTCAATGTAAGTTGTAAATATTTCTCTGTAAGCATTCAAGTAACTTTCTTAAATCTACTTCCTTCTCCTGACCAAAAACAGAAGTAAGGACCCAGGTTGCTCTGTGCCTGGCACATGACGGGCTTCCTTTTAATGCCCTGCGTGCAGGCAAACTGTCAGTCGTTGGTGGGGCTAGCTACATCAATAGATGAGATTACCCACTTTTTTTAACCTGAAAATTTGCCTTCTTCACAATTTGGCTTCTGTAAGGAACTTAGGTAATTCCAGGAGTGGATAATTGAGCACTTTTTAACCTTTCTTTGGGAGCTGATTTTGATCTCATTTCCTCTGTTTCCCTGTAGTCTTTACACTCTGGCACTTTGGTAAGGGTACAGCTCTTGGTGCTTTTAGTTATTATAGTTATTTTCACTTGTGTTGGGCTCGGAGAAAGCCACCAGTGGCTTTGTGTCATTAGTCTAGAAAGCCACCTTTCAGGTTTAATTCAGTAATTAATGAGATTCTTAAAGTTCGTTTGGCCCTTGAGTCTAATAATGGGAGTGCTTTGCATTTTTATAGAGCTTTCAGTTTTGTTTCCAAAGGAATTCCACATGCATTCTCAGTTTATTTTTATTGACACAAAAAAGGTGGGGGCAAAACTTGAAGAATAGGTATTTTACCCCATATTACAGATGAGAAAAATGAAGACTTGGAAGGGTTGAGTGAGTTGTTCAGAGTCACACCAGTAGTAAGTGATAGGCATGGTATCCTGACTCTCCCTATTTAAAGCCCTTTTAAAAGTCAAAATGAGGTAAGTGGTACATAATGACAACTTCTTCTCTCACTTTTTAATAAAATAGCTTTCTACTTCAGTGTTTCTTAGTGGCAAATTCCATCATAAGCTGGTAAAGATGGCAGTGTAATTCTGCTGCATAAATTCTGTTTATCTGTCTTCAATAATTTTTCTAAGTTTCTTTTTCCCATCATACAACTGCTTCACTTAAAGGAACTATCTCTGACCTTGTATCACGATTTTTTTTAAATTGTTTTGTAATATTTAACTACAACATTTCTGGGTTATAAACATTAAATTTCCTCCTGCATTATCAAAATCAGATACTGTGCTTTTTATTAGAATATATGCATCCCATTAAATGTTCTGTAAAATAAATTTGAACAAATTGATTGTTTTTTTTACCCATTCGTTTCAGTATAGAAAATGACTAGTATAGATCAGTGCTTTCTCAAGTTTCCCCAAAAGACTGAGATAATTGCTATTTCTAGTAAAGATTTTAGATGATTGCCAGTCCCATTGCTCTCTTACTTTCTACCTTCTCAGGAGCACTTTTAATTTTCAACTCCATGAGTGCGTTACCACCGATGATCCCCATGCTGGAAATTCTCTTTTTATAATTTGGACTTTTAGAACTTTGCTTTCCTTCTTTTGATCAAATCCTAGGCTTGAATTTCAGACTTGAACAATAATGTTCTCTGACACATGATGGCCAGCTTTAGAATCTCAGACTTTTATAAATAATCATGATAGCTAACATTTATTGAGCATTCTCCAAGAGCCAAGCAGAATTCTGAAGACTCTACATTTATTAATCCAGCTAATCCTCAGAACATAGTTATCATTTTATAGATAAGCAAACTGAGACAGAGAGTATAAGTAACTTAGATTAGGCATTCAAGGTCACATGGTTTGTAAGTAGCAGAACTGGTGTTTGAACACAGGGAGTGTGACCCCAGTCTACGTTCTTGACCCCTTCTTTTTACTCCATTTTAGTATAAAGTGAATTTGTTCTCACTGTATTAAGTTTATAAGTTCATAATTCTGTATTTGGACTTTATCTAAGATGAATGCTATAGTTCTGAATTATGTGGTATTTATACACTAATACCTAATATAATAGCGACACTTATTGATACCCTTAGGCATGATGATGCTAGGTTGTGTAAGTTATTTTTGGCCTGCATTAAAAAAGTTACAGGTGGCTATTACTGCCTCCATTTTTGGTGAGTAGACCAAGGTTGAAAGGTAAAGTGACATTTTTAAAGCCTCATGACTGGACCCCTACTGTGGCATCATTTGAATGGAATCTGGTCTGTCTGACTCCAAAATTTGTGCAGTTTCACCGGACCTTACACTGTTCCTCTGTGCTACCCTACTCCCAAACAATAGCATCTCTCTTTGCTTTACTTTAATTGATGCATGTTGGAATAATATGTATATTTAGCACAAGTCATATCTATCTGAAAAGTTAGTTTTGGGAAAAAGTTCAAAGGTAACAAGATTCTTATGATATATGAAGAATATCAGTCCTCATGCTTTAGAGAAATGGTTCCCAGCATTAGTCTGTATCAGCATTACCTGGGAAGCTGTTAAAAAATACCAGTGTCCAGGCTTCCCCTAAAGATTGATTAAATTGATTCAGTGTTTTCATTAAAGCTCCCTGGGCTGTTTTAATATGCAGCCTAGGGTTGAAGACCAGGCTTCAGTGTCTCATTAATTACTGCTTAGCCAGATAAATATCATCTCATCTGGCCCAGCCTGCCACACAGCGTTGAAGTCTGGAAGATTAGTTATTCATTATTTTTCATTTTAAAATTTGCAATTTAATAAAAAATTAAAATACAAAATTAAATTTAATTTGTCATTTGAAGTTAATGATAAAATATTTAAATGTTAATCAGGAAGGAGTTTGGAAAACAACTCAGTCTTGCCTCTGTAAGGGCAGAAAAGTAATGAGTTAGGAAAAAAAAATCAGTCAAAGTAGGAAATAAAACCCATAATAACAGAACTGTAAAGCCAGAAGGAACTTTTAAGATGATGTAGGTCAACTTGTATATTTTATACTTGGAGAAGAATGAGGGGCCAGAGTAGGAAAATTGGCTCTATCTCTGTTATGATTTTGCACTAAAAAGGTAAATTTCAGAAGGAATAAAAATAGCATCTGCTATTATAGGATAGGATTTGGTTTGAGAACAACTTGAGCATTAATTTGTACTTTAGTTGAAACCTTTAATTATAGTTGTTTTTTAGGGGTTTATTCACACAAAGATAGTGATAGTGAATGGAGTTCTTTCCTAAAGTTTCACTCTTGCATTTTTTAAGTCCCAAAGGACAAGTGTTGGGGATGAGGGGATAAAAGAATAGTGATTATAGAGGATAAGGAAATGCATTTTGATATTTATAGATTAAAGGTTTATTCTAAGATTAAAATCTTGGGCTTGTAGACAAATTTTATAAATGGCTTTTATTGTGTTTTTTGGTGTAATGCTTCTTGGTGGTTTTTGTTTAAAGAACTTTTTGTTTGTTTTTTGGTTCTCATAAATTTTCATGTCATTAACCTTACATAAAATCCTCATTGCATGTTTTTTATTAACCCTTGGTATATTCATTTTCTTCTGACTTGAAAGAATAATCCATTAGAATTTAACCCCGATGGCTTGAAGAAGACTGCAGTTCAGAAAGCTTTAAAGGTAAACTAATACAGTTTTCCATTAAGGTCACAAAGTTCATTCAAGCATATTGAAAGAGATGATACCTTGATTCTCAAATTCTCAAAGTCACAAATTACCTTCCATACTAATATAATAATTAGTTGCCTAGTTAGATCTTGCTTTCGTTACCCAAGAATTCAGAGTTAGGAGAATTTTAGTCAACTTTGAAGATAAATTTTTTAAATTACCAATATAATAAATTTGCTTTCTTTCTTGTTAGCCTTAGATGTACAGGTATCTTAAGGGGTTTTTTAATCATTATATTTTACTTGAATTTGAATTCATAAAAAATGGTGAAATAGAAGTTCTGTTTAAAATCTTAACCAATTTTTAGATTATTTAAAGGTATTCCTATGAGCTATGAATAGACATTTAAAAATCAACTCTTCTGATATGTGGAGTTAAGACCATCTCTGAGTAAGCAATCTCATGGCTTTTGGTTCTTCTTAGTTTGGGTGATAAATCTTTTGAGAAGCTTTAAATTTCATTAAATGAGGTATATTGAAAACTAAGCTCAACTCCAGAAAAATATGACATTAACATGTATTCTCTGGCAAAATTGTTAAAAGTTTTCTATGAGTTATAATGTTTTATTATTTTTTTCTCTGATTTCTTTGAACATTTTAGGCTTAGATATTTGGTGGTGGTAGCGGGGCGGGGGG